AGCCTACTCTTTCAGAAGGCCCCAAAGCAGATTCCATTAAATTGAGGAAAAGCAAGATGGACAGGATACAGGAACCAATATAAAAAGATCTGGAAGGTTTAAGAACGACTGACCAAAAATATTATTTGGGTTGAATTATTTTAACATGAATCTGACTGGATGCAAACAGACAAGAAACCTACTAAGTTTTTGAGGGTATTATATTACCAAAGGCATCATGAGCTTGGCCTGCAAAAGCTTGTGGTTATTTGATCCCTAAAGGAACCCTCAGGCTTCAAACCAGCATCAGCACGAATCCTTACTAGTAGCCGCACAGGATATGGTCGTGGAGGGTAACAGACAAGAAAGAATTCTTGGCAGGCAAAACCAGGGATCATGTAGTACAATTGCTAAACAAATTTCTGCTAGAAAAAAACCCCAAATCACTTTAATGAGCTATTCAAGGAACTTCATCAGAGCAAGGAATCCTCACAATTCCTGCCAAACAGTTTTTGAAAATTGGTATGGGCCTGCTGTATGTTTTCTATTCTTTCCTTTTCCATATAGGAGTTTTTAGTGTGGTTACTGTGTTCCTATTCTACCAGTGGGCGTGTGTCCTGGGGATGAATGGACCAGACAGCATGCCCTCTCTTTCATAGACTGCTAGATCATGAGGAAGCTCCAAGTGGGGAGAGTTCCAGACGTCATGGTCTTTGAGCTCAAGGCAGTAACTGGTTATGGTCTGACATATGGTAAATGGGTTCTATGTGTGGGAAAAAAGGCACTCACAGTCATCTGGAGAGGCAGACTGTGGTGGAGCTGTCTAGCTGACTCTGAGAATGCATTTCTAATTCTTCCTTTTTACCCTTTGGTAATAGAATCCCCTCAGCTGAGCAAATGGCCGTCAACTGAAGACTACATTTCCCAGGTTCCCCTGCAGCTAGGTACGACTAGATGATGGAATCTGAGTCAATAGGAGGTGAATGGAGTGGATGTATGTCATTTCCAGGGTGTCTCTGTCCTTTATTTTCCCTCTTCCAAATAGGCCAGGAAATGGTGACAGCTGGAATGGCCTTGGAAGTCACTTGTTAAGGACAGAGAGGTGCTCCACCAGCCCTGGACTGTTGACTTGGTGAAAGAATACAACTTTTAGTTTATTTAACCCATTCTATTTTTTTTTTTTAAGATTTTATTTATTTATTTGAGAGAGAGAGAATGAGAGACAGAGAGCACGAGAGGGAAGAGGGCAGATGGAGAAGCAGACCCCCTGCTGAGCAGGGAGCCCGATGCGGGACTCGATCCAGGGACTCCAGGATCATGACCTGAGCCGAAGGCAGTCGCTTAACCAACTGAGCCACCCAGGCGCCCAACATTTTGAAAATTCTAAGAGGTTTTTACATTGAACCATTACATTCATGATGGTTAAAAATCCTTAGATTATAGATGTATACTTTTTTTACACTTGGTCTTCAGTGTTAAGTGAATATAACTGGCAATTCAACATAAACCTATGTGGTATAACAATATATAACACTAAAAAAATATATATATATATATAAAGCTATGCTATGCCCATTAATATAATAATTAGAAACAAAATCCAGAAATTTTCAAATACTTCTTACTGTTGGTCAAAGATTTTTATTTTTTTACTGTAGATTTCATTTTTCTTTTAAAGGGATTTATAATGTTAGGGTGCCTGGGTGGCTCAGTCAGTTAAGCCTCTGACTCTTGATTTTGGCTCAGGTCATGATCTCAGAATCGTGAGATCGAGCCCCATGAAGGGCTCTGCACTCAGCAGGGAATCTGCTTGAGATTCTCTCTCTCCCTCTCTGACCCCACCCCCCCTTTTGCATGCACATGTGCATGCTCTCTCTCTCTCTCAAATAAATAAATCTTTAAAGGGATTTATAATGTCATTTACCTGTAAATGTACAATTCTCAGAAATATATCTTCTCTCATGCTCATCTCAATATCAAAACGAGAAAGTCTTTTGTCTGCTTCTGTACTTGCTGCCCGTACATCTTTGTCAGAGGAGACGTGCTGGGGAAAGTCTAGCATGGTTCGTTCCACTGTCAAGAGAGGAAAAAACCATAAGGACTCATCAAATCAGCACTAAGAAAAATACCTCCTACCTAGATGAATGATTATCTCAAATTAAGTTTTTCATTTTATACTTTCTGTAAAGGTTCCTAAGGCTATCAAGAAACAGCATCTAATGCAGGACTTGGCTGTGGCAGTGGCATTATTAGGGACAATAAGGGTGTACACTGAGCACTTATCAAAGTATGTTTAGGGTTTAATTTATTAACTGGGAATGCAGAAGGATAAAGACAGTTCTCATAGTGATGCATTTTATAGTCTGGGATGTGGGAGTACAGAATAGTTTGTGAAAAGATAAAGAAGAATACAGGACAGAGCAGCTTACGTGTCAATGAATGGGATAGTAACTCAAACACAGCAGTACTAAGAACTGGAGCACTATGTAATGCCTTATGGGGAAGGCTGGACCTTAGTATGGGCAGGGTAAGAGGAAGATCTCAGGAGAGGATTGGAGAAGGAGAGACTAGAAAAGGCGTGGGGACTGGAAGAGACAGAGATGTTTTAGAAAAAGGCAGACGAGGGGCACCTGCGTGGCTCAGTC